GTTTTGAGACGATTTAAGCGGCTGCTGGAATAGGGCTCTTCCAGCCTGAAGGAGCTGTGGGGTGTCTGTGGTCCTTAAAGTGAAAAATAAGTGAAGAAGCATTCAATGGGACTGTTTTGTCATTATCCATTTTAGACTTTGGCTGAAATGAACTCAACTTGATTTTAGTACCACTGAACACTTTTAGGCTGAAGGCCATGAGACTTAACCAGAAACACAAGAGCGCTGGAGGAAGGCAGAGCTCCCTGAGCCACGCCCGAGGCAGGAGAGATTGCTCTTGAGCCTTTGTGCTGCAAATCAGGGAGCTAAATATTTTTCATCTCTTCCAAGAGCCTCACATGCAAACAACTATTTCCAACATTTCCTTCCTCACTTTTCCTCTTGGGGACCAGCAATTCCAGCTGTTTTTTCTTGCTCTTCTCAGTAATGGCCCTGCAAATGTTCTGTCTGGGATAGAGTCCTTCATGGTTCTTCTTGATCCCATCTCTAACCTGTGACACTCACTCAGCATCTCTGCTTGCCTGCTGACTGTCAACCCCCTGGCTTCAACTCTGGCCAAAAAGGAGCACTGCAGCAAACTCTCATGGCCCCCTTTCCAGCTCTGTCATGGGAGGAACCAGGAGACTAAGCTGAAACAATCCTCACTTGGTTCAGCCTTCACCAGTTCTTCACAGTCTTTGCAAAATTGCTTCCAAAGACGCATCAGCTTGCTGCATCCTCTCCCTATTTATTATGTGCTAACCTCAGCCTTCAAGTCAAGTTTAGTGAGGAGCCAACAGACCTCACGTGAAGGAGTTGACTACCCTGTGACAGTCTTGTGTCTGACATGCTCCTGTGGATCACGTGGAAAACAAACAAGTGTACAACCCACATGAGCGTTTCTAAAACCTGAGTTTATGTTTCCCCTCTGGATGTGTGCCAAAAGCCATTTTCAGATAGGCTGGCTGTAAGTGACTACGTGGTTTGGGGACTTGGAAGTAACTGGATGCTTACACACAACCACGTCACTCCACAGTTTGGCTTTGGCTTTTGAAGCTGCTTTGTCTTGGCTAATGGAGCAAGCCCAGCATATCATCTAGGCTCGGCTGGGCCTTGACTGCCGCATGTGTGTACCAGTCTCAGGGATAATCGGAGCACTAGCTGGCCCTTCTCCAGCTGATAACAAATATCCGGTAGTTGCCAGAACAGTTATCCCCATAGCAATGAACTCCTTGTATGTTCCTGTAGAGAAAAAGTTTGTTTGGGCACAAATAAGTGATTAGGCATGTATTCATGTGTATCTCCATATGGCATCAATTTCTCTCTCTCTGAATTTGATGAGGGAGCTATTGAAATTGTCCGTGTGTACCGGCATCAAAGGCTGTCTCACTGTGAGACTGTTTCCAGTCTATCCAAAGGCCCTTGAGATGGCTGTCACAGAGCAGAGAATGTATATAGCTGCTTCCTATTGATCACAGCATGGGTGACCATCCTTTTTTATTAGTCTCTTTTTTCCTAGACTTCCTTGTATTGGTTGGTTTTGCTCTCCAGTGCCTCACCTTCTAATGATGTGGCACTTTCCCAGTCCTATGGCTTTTTTGATTTGCTGTGACTCATATTCCTCTGGCTAATTTCCTGGCTTAGTATTTCTCATTGATTTGAGGAGATCTAGAGCTAGCCAACAAGAAATGTCCGACACTGGCTGATAAGTGCAGTTTAAGACATATAAATGAGTCTGGCCCTTTGTTTTCTAAACCAGTTTTCTTGTTTTGCATTTCTTACATAGAACATTGTTCCCGTATCCCCCCTTCTTTCCTCTGTGCATTTCTCTCCTTACCTTCTCTACGTGGTCACTGCAGAACGAAATGTCAAGGAACATGTTCACAGAGACAGAGGCTGGGCTTTGAGCGATGTCTATTGCCTTTCCACTACCTGGCCAGCCTTCTTCCAGTTCTCAGGCATGGCACAAAATGGGCCCCACTCTGCCTACTCAGTCACAGAAGCTCACACCTTGTGTCCCATCATTACATCTCTGGCTTGGGCTTCTGTAGGCGCTTGCCCTAAGTGCATTTGTCCTGTCTGTACCCTGGGTTGCAGCATGCTATTAGGACAGAGGACTTGAAAATAAGGAAAAAAAATGTGTTGAGCCAAGCATTACAGGCCTTCTTCACAAACTGGAGGAAAATAAATGTGTTTTTTCCATGAAGATGAGGCTTGGAAAAGCATTTAGAAGTAATTAGTCAATGAGACATCATGAAAATTCAGGTGATTTGCATTCCAGCTAGCTTGGAGCAGAGGGACATCTGTTGTAGCTTCTTCATCAAGATATGCATTTGCATCTGCCTCTCCTCTTTGTGCAAAGATACTTTAATCATTTTATTCTAGTGGTGCATTTCAGTCACACAGAGAGAGTCATGAGTGGGAACAGAGATGTGCTTTGACATCCTGCAATGGTCAAGTGTACTGAGCCTCACTACAAAAGCTATTGCTAGCAAACCTAATAAAATAATAGGTATTTAAAATCCTACCGAGAAGATACTAGACTTACGCATGCTATTTCAAGTGCTCTTGAATAAGGTGCATGCTATTTGGTAACATCCTCCTATTAGCTTGTTTAGTCATATGTTAAAGGAATTGCTTGTCATCCTAAATTACCAGTTGAGTCAGAACTGTATGAGCCACAATATTTTTCTTCGGTACAAAGGGTTACAACGTTTTGTAGAAAACATAGGCTGTAATTACTCTTATGCAGAAGCAAAGGGGGAGGGAGGGAGGGAGGAAGAAAGAAGGGGACTCATCTCAGAGGATTTTATATAAAATACCAAAGTGCATTTGCATTCAGACTCGGTTCTTTTTCCTGCCCACAAGTTTCCATACACATTAAATAGGACTGGGTAGAAAAGTTTCGCCAGCCCTCAACCTCGCAGCAGGAGGCTGGGAAGAGTGAAGGTGTTTAGCGAGGCTTTCCCAGCCCGTTGCAGGAAAAGGATGTTTTTCCCTCGCTCTCTGGGAAATGTGGCACCAAACACTTCCTCTTTCCTCATGCTTGTTTCCACGAAACCCTTCATGGAGGCTTCACGCTCTTTTTACCAAAGAATACAAAACAGGAAAGACTGGTAAATTCCTGTGACACAAATTACTTCCTTTTGATGCTTCCTCGTCACTAAAATGGATGGAAAGCAGGTGATTCTGTCCCTGGTCCCACAACTCCGCTGCAAATTAGGGATGGCAGGAGACACACCCTACCAATGAAGAAGTGTTGCAATGCGGCCCTAAACCCGCAGCTGCATAAGCCGTGGCAGCAGAGACCGGTAAGGCTGAGCTGCAGTGAGGCAGCAGTCTGGGACTGTGCTCCATTCAGGTTTGGTCTCGTTCTTCTTTACGTGGATCCAGAACACAGCGGTGAAGTCATCGGGTTTGTGCTGATTTGACTATAGCGCGCTGTTACTTCTCCCCAATAGCATGGTGCAGTGTCATCGGGTGAAGGTAAATAGTCATTGGGAAAATAGGGTGTGCATCTTTTGTTTCTTAAGAAAACCAAGCTACTGTGCAATTACCGCCTATCCTTGTGGTAAAGAGGCACGGGACCTATTTCTTTCCTCATGCTGATTTCGCACCACTTCTTATTCATTGATATTTAGTGGAGCAATTGCTGCTTCAAGCCAATATGAAATTATGTTCGGGGCCATGATTCCAGGACAATAAAAACATTCCTGCCCCTCTCCAGTCTCTCACCTTTCCCCCCAACTCTTTTCTCCTTGCATTTGAAGCACCTAATTTTCCATTCTCTGCTACATCCATATTTGTTAAAAATGAGCAGATGTTTTTGCTGATTAATATGAAGCTGAGGAAAGATAGCTATTTTTCCCTGTATATTCATGTCTCAGCTCTAGAGAATTACGTGCGTGGATTCTTCTGGAGGTAGATGAGACTCCCTTTTTTAGATATCTCTGCCACACCAAATTAGAATGCTCGTTTAGATGGTTTCCACACATAGGAGAAAAACTGCACAGATTTGCCTCAGTGTATTGAGATGTTTTAGTGAACCTGTGAATCATCTCATAACTTATTTCTTTCAGGTTTTTATGGTCTTAGTTCTCTTAGAAGTACACAATAAACACATACCCAGCAACACAGAAAATGTAAATTGGGAGCCACTTTCAGAAAAAAAAGAAAGTGTCCAATGAACTTGAAAAAACTTCTGTTAAGAAATACTACTTTGCATCACTCATAAATAATCTTTTGAACTCAATTCTGTGAGAAATCATTACACTTCAGTAATTAACATCATGGATAAAGAAGATCTCCAATGATGAGTGCCATATTTTATCCCAAGAGACTGAATTCTTCATGCTTTAAAGCCTGAATCAACTACTAATTGTTAGGCTTCAGAAAGTAACTTCCCTTTTAGAAAGATTTCTTTTACCTGTCGCTGAAATGTTTATTGCACGCCACTCTTGGAAGGAAGGTACTTGATGTAATGAACTACTGAGCTGATATCAGGTGTTAATGTGTATATGATGGGAAAGTCGCATTAAATTCTTCAGACTTCTTTAAGCTGTAGACTCTGGTGTCAGTTACGGTCCAGCATATTCCCTGCTCAGGAGCAGATCTCCCAATCGGAGTCAAAGACAGGCTTGACCTACAGCATTCATTTCACAGCCCAGTCTTTTTCGAAACTGAGGGCATTTACATCTGAGGCATGGTCTCATGACTCCCGTAACGGAGGAATTTGTGCAGAAGGCTGGCTAAACTGGATCTTGGGCATGCTTTGGCCCGTTTTTGTGACAAGGCAGATTAACTGTCCCTTCCCGGCGCAAGTGTACTGCATATCAGCTTAGTCATGGAATACACCTAAAATGAAACATTTGGATTTAAAATGATCTCTTTTATTAGTGCTATTGAGATGTGATTTTTTAGATTTACACCCTTTGAAGGGAAGAGCTCAGCAGGGCTGGAGCAGTGTAACGCATTCAACACCAATCAAAACACATTTGAAGCCTGACTGCAGGAAGAACCATTTAAGAACGTGTGTCAAGGTCGTAGTTCTCCCATCTCTTCACTCTGTTAATGGCTACCTTCCATTTGTCTGGGGTCACCTTCTCTATTCCTTTAACAACCAAGTCACTGAAGAGGATTCATCTGTAGGAGTGGGTCTTCTCAGTAGACCTCAGGGCAAACTCCTTCCTGTTGTTTATAATGAACCGTTTCAAACAAGACCAGGTGACGTCCATAGGACAGAGATAGCTGTAAGACAAAGGCACAACAAGAAGCTCTGGCCATTGGCTCTAGCAGTTTCAGGGCAACACTCAGTGCTGGACATGTAGATCGCTGGTGGGACTGGCAGCAGAGTTCTCGTCTCCATCTCCTTGCCGTGTTTTGCCCCCACATGCATCAGCTGCATTTTATCCCTCGTCACAATTACACATTTCCCACAGGACATGTTCAGAGATTCACACAACTCCTGAAAGATACCATTCTGCTGATGGACGGGCAGATCGTGTCTTAATAGCAGCTTGTACCTCCAGGGCACCCACACTTGGTGGCTGCCAGCATGAACAAGTGTCCATATTGTCCAGCACAGGCTGGCCTTCTCGGCTGTTTTTTCGCCTGTTATGAGACTTTCTGGAATATCTGTTTCCCCTAAGAAAATGATGTTGAAACTGTTAAGCTGCCATGTCCTCAAAGTTCTTAAATACTACAAGCACTGCCTCTTTGAATCAGCATCAAAGCAGCTCCTGTGAATTACATGCCTGAGAAGTGGATTTGCGAAGCACTGCATGTTGATGTCTCAAGGCTCATGAAGGATGTTCGCAGAGCTCACAATGCGCCCGTTGCTACTCTGCAGTGTCACACCCAAACAGCGGCAGCACCAGCAGAGGCTTCCAGGTGGCTGATCAAAAGGCATCTTGTAAAACAATGGTCCCATCAGGCTGGGTAGGCTGCTACTGTGCAGCTAGCAGCTTCTGGCATCAGGACGTTGCTCGTCTTGAACATTGTGGTTCCTTCTCTCACAGCACTGGGTGGGTGCTTGGGCTCTGCATATGTGTGTGGGCCAGTCAGGCACCGCCAAAGGGGTCCAGAGGGATGGAGATGTGGAGGAAGGAGCTGCCCAGAGTTAGCGTGGAGAATGAACCAACACCTGAGCTTTGAGATCGGTGGTAGAAATCATTCTCTCCCTCCCTGGCAAGTGTGTGGCCTCATGGAAGATGTGGCCTTGAAATCCCCCTGGGTGGAGGAGGGGGCTGAAACCCAAGTGCCTTGTTATGGGGGAAAGGAGGACCCCTGGACCACCACATGAGCCTCTCTGATGGGCAGGCCAGTCCTGGCGGCATTGAGAGGTACTGCCTGATGCCCGGTGCCCAGCAGCCTGTGTGAGGCCCACCATGCTCAGCCTGCCCAGCTCCAGGCCTTGGAGGGGGAAGAAATAAGTGAAGTCTCAGACATCGCTTCAGGATGAGGTATTTTTAGGAGTAATTTGGTTTCTAGGTCCTCTTAGGTTCCCACTTTGTGCCCCAGCTCCTACTTTTTGTGCTGGCCCTACTGATGCACGCCTGAGGGATCTGCATTGAGCCCAACACCACCACCATCACCCTCTCCAAGGGTGAGCAACACCTCCAGAGAAGGAGAAGAGATTATGAGGGAAAAAGAAAATCACTCGATGGTGTTATGTGAACACATAGGCTGAAATGAAGGTCAGAGCAGAAGGCTGGACAGGTACCATCCTGCTGCCATGGCAAGTCAAACAGGGGCACAGGAGCACGTGGCAAAGTGAGGACTGCAGCTGGTCTGGTGAGATGGGGACAGTCAGGGGAAGATATGTGTGTGTGTGTGTGCGTGCACTGAGGGCAGCAAGTGTTCGGCTGGGGGAGGTTATGGAGCAGCAGAAAGAGAAGACTTTTGACCCATCTGGTTTCTTAACCTGTCGTTCCTCCTCCCTGCACATGCACATGCAGAATTTTGCCGCAGGAACAAGCTTGTCAGTACAAGACTGTTAAATTGCTCACTCTTAGCTGTACTTACAAAGCTGAGAGTGAATGCTGGCAGCATTGTCAGCCTGCCAGATGGGGCTGAACAGCACAAATGTGTCAGTCTCTGGTGACAGTATGCATTTCCTTGCCCACCTCTGAAACGGAGATACCCCACAGTTCTCATCATGCCCTCTGCAACAGTTTTCCTTCACCCTAACGCAGTGGGAAACTCTGTGAATTCAGAAAATGTTTGAAGATGCACATGGCCAGTGGGGTTTAACTCAGCTGCCTGGATGCTCCCCTTGCTGAGGCAGATGAATGACGGGGCACATCAAGTTAGCGTCATCACATGGAGAGCAGAGTCTGAAAATTTGATATAAGGGTATAGCCCCAGAAAGAAGCCTGTGTGGTTTGTTAGCCAGATGCAAAATGATGGCCGATTCAGACTGTACACACATGAAGAAAAATCCCTGAATATGTAGTACATATTGATATGGCAATACATCATAAAATAATATCGACTCATCTCTATTCACATTTCATGCTGTGATATACCTTTCTCTTTTAGTGTTAGCTTTTGTCCTTAATAAATGTATGCCAGGAGCATAACCTGACATGAGTAGTCCTACTGGAGTTATTGGGTGCTTATCTGTTTTGAAAAGTGCACATGTTTAGAGGCCTGATGTCCTCCAAAACACTGATTTAGGGACCTCACTGTTCAAGAACTGGATGTAAAGTGTCGAAAGAACTAACTGTAAGGAAATCTTATTCTGTAATTCTTCTTGGTGCCTGTGACAAGCATCACCCCTGTGACACCCACTGGAACTGCAAATCATATTCCTTGTTACCTAAATTGAAGGTGTCATTTCCTTGTCTCCTCTCCAAAGCGGATTTACTTAATTATGGATGAGTTGGAGCGTGCCATCCTTGAGATAGACAAGATAGACATTGCTTTCTAGCTACCTTCTGATTGTGAATGGACACCAGTAAGAAACAAGTCAGGGGAACAACTGTGGTAGCATCCAGGCAGTGTCCCTGGGTACAAAAGTGAGGTGGATCTTCCTCTCTCCTTCCCTGTCCTTTCCTCCCTCTCTGTGCTTGTCCCTGAGGCCTCCTGGCCACGTCAGGCTACGGATGGCTCTAATGCTTCCTGCCTTGTCCCTCTCAGACCTGCCCCTGTCACCAGTGGCAAGCAGAATATCTGTGCTGCTGTCCCCCACAGGCTGCCCACGGGCTGAAAGCGATGGTGCCCAGCCCATTTGTGTCCTCTCAGACTGAGAGGCAACCCAAAGCACAGCAGCAGCTGTCAGGAGACACGGCTTAAAAGCACAGTCCTCTTCTGAACTGGACCACACATGTAGGAACCTCTGGGCTGCCCAGGAAAATCAGGCTTGATGTTCCTCTGTTTGGGCATCCTGTAGAGAATAGTCCTGAAATGGTTGCTCTATCAATCCAAGCTTTTGTGGGTTTGCAACATCAAGGCAAATGCTGAGTGACAAAGGAGGCTGAGCTTTCCTGTGCCAATGAAGGGACTTGGCAAGGTGGATGAAGGAGGTGCAAACCAGCCTTTCTGCTTGAGACACCCTAGGCACGGACAAGTTCTGTGTCACTGTATTGTGGTGCTGTCCCAGAAGTACATGGTGATACTCTTATGCTATCAGGTGGCATCACTGTGCCTGCATCTCTGGCTGGCCCTGGGTCCTTCAACCCCCATGAACTGGTCTGAGCCTAACTGGTTATGAAAATACGAATGATAATGCAGCTGATATGTAGTGAGATGGGCTGCTTTCATGTCCTTTTCAGAGTAGCTATTTGAGAAAGGGATTCTTCTCTGTCCCATTCATATATATGTGACATAAACACACCTGTTAACCTGCTTTAAAAACAGTTATTCATGATCTCAGCATCATTAAAAGAACTTGGGCAGCAGACCTAAGACACTGGGCCGAAACAGAAAACCACATCTTTTATTTCCCATGCTACCTTTAGTCTGCCATGTTGCTTTTTGTCTCTCTTCCCTACCACTCCATATATGCATCTAGTGAGCACTTTGGGGTAGGGACTTTTCCTCCTTTTGTAATTTTAGACTTCTGACATTTCCTAGCAAGGCCACACAGTGCAAAATCTCTGGGCATAGCCCCTGCCTCACTAGTGCATTTGGGATTTAGGAAAAGGCACTTCTGATCACTCTCTTCTCCTTCAGCCATTGCACTGGAGTCTCCTGCCCTCGCCCTGCTGCCCTACCAGCAAGACCTGCCTCTGGCTGTGAGGCAGTGCCCTGAAGGTTGGGGTTTGGGCATCAGCACTGGGACCACCCATCTTCCTCCACCACCCCCAGTGCAAGCAGCCATTGCACCCAGCACCCCACGCACAGGGACCTGGCCATGGGTGGTACCTGCCTCCCACGTGTCTGCGGGTGTGGGAGGGTGGGCTCAGTAGCACGTGGAGCATTTCAGAGGGATGGCCAGGCTCAGCAACCTCCTGCACCCCCCCCGGGAAGGAGGTGGGCGGCCTGGCCCCTGCCTGCTGCCAGGTCCTCCATCACTGCCTGGGTACACAGGTGGGGGCTGAGCAGTGGCACACACCCCCCCAATGTACTTTTTGGTGCTTCACCGAATTCCATTATACCGCTTAGCTAAATAATAAATTTACCAATTACCCAGCCCATGAACAAAGTCCCTACTAATGAAGCAATTAGGATACCAATTATCAGTTACATACAAATGACACATTTCAGTAGTAATTATGTTCTTAGGTTACCAGTCACCACACTCTATATGCAAGAAAAATCATCACAAACCTTTTATTTTAAAATGCCAAATAAAAATATAATGAAATACAGAACATAATGAAATACACATTAACAGTAGGCATGATGTTAGGCAAACAGTGGATGTTTTTACTGCTGTATTATATTACATGTAGCAGCTAAAATGAAGTTGCTAATTTTGAAATTTAACATTTTATTTTTATCTAAATAAAATGTTTTGTAAGTTTGATTTTTTTTTTTCCAAAACCAACGCTTGAGAACATTATTCTACAGGGAATTTTGTTCTCTTCCAGTTTTACATGGAGTGAGAAAAATTAGGATTCTTTCTCTAACAAATACCATACCCAATTTAAATAATCTATTTTCCCTCCTAGCTGTCTGATGAAGTCTGAACACTAGCTGAAGTCCCATGCCAAAGTATTATTTCTGGTGTCAAGAGAAACTTTCCAAAAGTGTGTAATTTTAGCTCTTGATCTGTGATGGAACCAGCAAGAGAAGCACTTGCCAAAGTCAAAGATGGCCTCAGGGTGGAAACAGAAAAAGGTGGAAACTTCAAAAAATAAATTAAGCCAATACCTAAAGTAAGAGCCCTAAAATTCTCAGATCAAGTACAACTGCTGGCAGTTTCCTGCAAAGACAAGCGAAACATCTCATTAAAACTGATGAAATTTGGTTTCCAGCATTAGGGACTCTCTACCAAGGTTGAGCTTATCAGCCTTCCCCTTGGTGGCATCCCAGTCACGGCTTCTGCTTAAGCATGGTCACTATTTCAGTTAGAAATATTTGGCCATCTATTGCCTGGATGCTGTAGGAACAGGGTATTTTTAGGAGTTGAATATTTTTATCAGATGTTGGTGAAACTATTTACACACATATGCATCTCCCTGAGTTGGGGAAGAAAAAATGGAAAGGAAGTCTTCAAGGCCAAGGGGTTGGCATAGAGCTGATAGGTATGCCTGAGTCTGGGAAGGTGACAGAGACATCAGGTCCATTACCTGAGCGGTCAAGGTCTGTTTTGAGCTCTCAATACAGGATGTAGAG